TCTTTCCCTTTTCAGCAAGAATCTTTCACTGCTTATGTGTCATTTATAAATATTGCAGTTAAATAAATTCCTCTCAAAATATAAATGTAATTTTTAATTTAATCATCTGCGATGATGACACAGAGTCACTGTTAAATGACCGATCTCAGTATGAAGACACAAAACTGAATGACAGTCCAACCCTAAGATTGTAAGTACTAGAGTAAAATGCTATCCTATCAGTACTATATTTTTGCAAATAGATTGCAAAATTATGGCAAATTAATATGAACTTTATTACTGACTAAAGTTCACTGTTTTAAAATGAGAACATTCTTCAGTCAGCTAAATATTACATTAGTCATTTTAAAACGCATTTTCAACTTTTGAAATTAAAATCATTTATAGGCTGTTATAAATAGAAGTAGTTAAATGTCATCATTTCTGTTGAATAAAAATTGTATTATAAAGCAAATATAAATGCACCAAATATTTTATGAAAATTTGCCTAACATATTGCAAATATTACATCATTACAGAAGTCGCAGTCCCAGCTTCTACTCAAGAATCAATGACTGTAAAGTAGACATTTTGCTCAACCATATCGGCAAAACTCCAGGGTTGTTCTTACCTTTCAGTCTAAAGTTCATGCTCACTGTTCTGCAGTTTACTTTTGTGCAGGCCTATTTGTCAAAGACATGGGTCGTGTTCTCCAAATGCCAGTGATAATCTGAACTATGATTGTCCAGAATACCTTACCTTTCCAAAAGCAAGAGGTTGAGCGTGGGGGCATTCTCCTGAAAAGGAGTAGAAAGAAATCAGAAACATGGAATGAACATGGCAAAGCTCAAAGGGTCCCGAGATTTCAATAGTCATTTAAATGATTCCCACCAAGTCAGACCCAAGTTCCCTCCCTCTCAACAGAAAACCTTTCCAGTGATGTGATTTGTCTTTGAGGAGGGAAGAGGGCCTCCATGAGCTTCTCTGTCTGACCCTGAGTGTAGAAGGGATGAAGAGTTCCACCGTAGCCCTTCTGCCTTGTTCAAGTGCCATTTGGAGCAAAGTACTTGAACTCATCCCCAGGGACCACTGGAGGTCACTACCCTTATTAATATAAAGAGCAGGAGTGGGACCCAATACCAGTAGCAGCACCTTCCTGCAATCTAGCACATTCCACATTTTTGCTCCAAAGCATGTGTAGTTAGATTGCAATGGCAATTACATTTGCCAAAGGTGCTAGAACTGAGCTCTAAAGGTAAGGGAATAAGAAAGGCCAGCAGTGGCCGGATTGGTGGGAGAGAATAGATTGCAAGAAACCCTGGCCTGCTTTAACCTTAAAAAGGTTCAAACATTGTTCCATCAGATCGGCAAAACACCAGGGTTGTTTTTACCTTTCAGGCAGCCTGTTCTCTCATTCTCAATAGCGAATCAAAGGAAGGTTCTTAATCATGAAAGTACTGCAGGTTCTGATGTGCTTGTCTAACAGAGCTGCTTTCTTCAGAGAAAATACAGTAACATGGTGGCTCTCATTTGTGTTTGCATTCAGCCTCTCCAGCTGCAACTCACTCTTGTCTTTTTTCCTTAAACTGGCATATATTTGAGGGATGAGGCTGCCTGGGGAAATTGTTATCAGACTATCAAATTGTATAAGGGTTCTGGGTGCATCATGACATTCAATAACAGCTCACATAATTTGATTCATCACATTCTATTGACTCATACTTAAAATGATATAAACCGCCAAATGACACTGTCTTGTGATGTTGTGACAATGGATCAAAAATTAACCCTTTTCCCCCTCAGTGCTATAGTTTTCTAATTAATCAGACAGTTGGTTGGGCTACTCAGCGGCTTCAAGCTCTTCCTTGCTGTTTGAAAAACCCCAGAGTCATTTTGGTCAGTTTAGCATATCTGTATAAAAAGCCTCTTGACTTCTTAACCATGTCTCAGGAGTAAGAACTGGTTGAAAAAGACTCAGTATTATGAGAATCCAGGTCTGTTGTCTCCTGATGGTGCATGGAATTGACCCCTCCCTATGACAGGAAAAGGGACAAATCTGGACATTTCCCTTTAGATATGAAAATGTGATAGCATTGGAAAACATTCTGAATAATTTAGAATTCACATCCTGTCCCCTACCAAACTTCTTGAGGAAAACCTTTTAGCTTTTCCCATTGAAATCATTTCTGGTAGTTGAGTCATTCTAATGATCAGTTACTGCTTTTTCTTCAGACTTTATATTCTTAAAAACTTTCTGAAACATTGAAACTAGTTCTTTCTAAAAGAAAAATAAAATGCAGTAGAAGTATTTGTGTTTCATGGATGTTGCAAGCAGGTGAGAATTTAACAATTGGTTCATTTTTGTACAAGTAGCGCCAATTTTATGCTGTTTAAGCTTATTATCTAATTGCATGCTTGTGCTGGCTTCAGAAATGGCATGACATTAAGTCAGACTTGTGCTGCATTCCCCAGCAGTGGAATATTCAATTATTTGTTCTGACTCATGTAATTCCCTGTATTCCAAGCTTGTTAATGTCATTACAGGGCTGAAATAAAGTGATTACTCTAAATGAGTATTTATCCGATAGGCAATGCAATTCCTGCACCCTCTAGCTGACAATAGATGATTATGAATGTTTTTCCTTCTTCTTGTCCCCTTCCACCCCCATCCCCTCCCCTGTCAAGAAGGCACCATAACATTGTGGCGTTCTGTGAAATACTGTCAGATGGTGTAAAATATATATATAATAAAATAAAAAGAAGTGCAACCTCCCCCGGCAGAGTTAAAGCTAATGACCACTGCTTCCACTCCCAGTCAGTGATGACAGGTTGAACTAACTGATAATGGCATGCCTGCTGTTCAGCTGGCCACTTATGTTATTTCTCTTGACATGGTTCTGGGGAAGGCCTAATTTTTTTGACATTTGACCATGCAAATTTGAGTCCTGATACATTATTCTGAATTTACATCCTCCCAGTGTTGCTGTTTAAAATGTGCTACAAGCTCCTTGAGCTCAGCTAATAAAGGCCACAGTATGAAAGAAAGTTAAATATGAATGTAAGAGGAGACCTAAATGAAGGGCTCACTTGTACATCTCAAAGATGACCTTCTGGAAATGAGCGAGTAGAAAATCCTTTTCAAAGCAAATGGTAAAAAGTGTAACAGTTTTTTTTCCTACAAAAACTCAAAAAAGATTCTAAAATATTCACAAAAAGGAAAACATATTTTACATAGACATTTCTCCACTCAGCAATTCAGCTGGATGTATTTTAAGCCCAGGTTCCATTAATCACTTTTAATAATATACCTTCCCCAAAGAGCTGGAAATTCATAGTGCTTCATTAAGTACAGGAGAAATTTTGGCAGTCTTTTTCTCTCATATGTGCTGGCTCTTTTATTTTTTTCATATTACTGAAGCACAAAGCTATTAACTGTGAGCAAGCTCACTTTTTTCATTCTTTTAAAAAAATTATAAATTTAACATTTCAGAAAGATGACAGATAGAAAACTCTGGGCAGTTTATTTCTTTATTTAGAAACAAAATAGGAGTGACCAGAGCAGTGAAATTAAGTCTCTGGCCTAAGGCCTTGTCTACACTAAAAGGAAGATTGCCACGGCTGCGGTCAATCTTCTGGAGTTTGATTTAGCGAGTCTAGTTAAGACTTGCTAAATCCAACTCAGCGGGTGCTGCCACCAGTGTCCAGTACTCCTCCTTTCAAGAGTAGGAAGGGAAGCTTATGGGAGCATTTGCTCCTGTCAGCATCCTGCTGTGGGGACGCTGCTAAGCTTGGCTTAAGGTGAACCAACTTCCAGCTCTGTGTTCCACGTAGCTGGAGTTGAGGACCTTAAGCTGAGCTACCTCTTCTCAAACAAATGGTAATAAAATAGGCACAAGGTCCTCGTTTCCACCAATTGAATGGCTGAGGGAGTCTGAACTGCCTTTATGCTTTGGATGTAAATCATGTAGCTTGGGTCTAAGGCTAGGTCTACACTAGACCTGGTAGCTGGAATTGAGGACCTTAAGCTGAGCTACCAGGTCTAGTGTAGACCTAGCCTTAGACCCAAGCTACATGATTTACATCCAAAGCATAAAGGCAGTTCAGACTCCCTCAGCCATTCAATTGGTGGAAACGAGGACCTTGTGCCTATTTTATTACCATTTGTTTGAGAAGAGGACTAGATTCCACAGGGCTTTTTTTCTTTCTTTCTTTTTAAGATTTGGATCTCAGGAGGAACTTAGTATCCTTTCTGTAGTGCTGTGTGGGTGGAACTCTGAAGAACATCCATCTTAGCTGACCCACCTGGTTAGATTGTGCTGGTTCTACTGTTCCTGCACTTGAAATGGCTGTTTCAGGCATTTGGGTTCAGTAGAAATGGTACAGGAGTAGGAGTCAGGAAAGTCATTTGTGTGGTGTTCCTTGATTTATAGTTGGCTCATTTCATTACTTTGAGCTAAATGCCTGAACTAGTCCGTAGGAATTTTTCCATTGATTTCAGTGGGCACTGGATCAAGTGATTATAAGTATTTCTCTTTCATGTAAGAACCTCAAATACAAGATTGCCCAGGCAGGAGTCCACTCTATGCTTCCAGTGAAATACAAAAGGTAGGATTTTCATTGGTTTCTCCAGCAGCTTCTTGTCTCTGAAACATAGTGCAGTACCAAGAAGTGACTGGACCTTGCCAGCCACTCACCCTGAAAAATAAAAATGTATCAGCTAAGGCCGGCTAACCTTTTATAGGCTTTTATTTGATTGAAGTGATTGTTTTCTTGGATACCATAAGGTGCCTTCCTTAGAAGCCTCAAACTTAATTTCACTTGATACTTCATTAGTAAAACATTTTATCTCAGCTTTTTTCTGCTTAAGAAGGCATACTAAAATTAGCTTAAAAGGAGAATAAAGTTTCTTTCACCTTATAAAGCACAGCATGTCATTTGCAAATTACACCACAAAAAAGAGCAATCTGCCATGAATGGAAAGTGTCTAATCACTGAGGGTATGTCTACACTACAGAGTTATTTCGAAATAAGCTATTTCAAAATAGTTCATTCGACCTAGCTTATTTAGAAATAACGCGTCTACACACAAAATGCATTTCGAAATAGCCTTTTTCTATTTTGAAATAGCACGTCCACACTGAGTGGACGTTGAATCACATTTAAGGCTGGTTGGAACCAGTTCCGGCAGGGCATCAGGTCAGAAGTTGCCTTATGGCCAGGGCAGCCAGCAGGGCACCCTAGGAAGGGCTGGAGGCCCCCTATTTTGAAATAAGTGTCTACACAGCACTTATTTCAAAATTGGCACTATTCCTCGTGGAATGAGGTTCACCAATTTTGAAAGAAGCCCTCCGCTATTTCGAATTAATTTCAAAATAACAGAATGACTGTTCAGATGCTAGGAAAGTTATTTCGAAATAAATACTGTTATTTTGAAATAACTTTGCTGTGTAGACATACCCTGAGTAATTTTGGACTTCAATCAAGACTCTTTACTAAAAGTCTACTGTACCCTAGCTGTTAATTATATTTATTTTCATTATTCTTACTTTCATTTTAACAAGCTGTGAGTCTATTTAAGTGCAACAATAACTGCTATACAGAATAAAGGACATAGTCCCTGGGATAGCCATACTTTGTTTTAATTACACAATATAAAGTTGTAGTGATAATAAATAAGATCTAATTATTAAAATTTTAATAAGCTGTTTCAAAGGTAACGTACCAACTCATGTCAAAGGCAAATTGAGGAATCTGTTTTGTTCTTTAAAAGTTCTAAAGTTCTTTGGCACCAAGAATCAGTTTTCAAATGGCTCTTAAGAAATATATTAACTATAAATTGAATCCAGGTCAGATTAGACATTGCCATGACCAAAAATCACTTCTGTCTCATTGTTCATTGGCCTACATGATCTAGAATGGTGGTGTCCATTCAATTCTTTTGAATAAAGAACCATCTCACAAAAACATGTCATTAGCATAGTATCCTCCATCATATCTGGCACCAATTGGCAACCTTGGAGCTGTATGATAACACTGAGGACATGCAGACTGAACTACCTTCTTGATCTTAGTAGGGTCCCTCCTGGAGACATTTCTGGTATATTGAGGCCATAACCAGTTGTTGATTTTCAGCTTCTCCCCTCTCCTGAATTCCCTTGGCTGACTAAATGAGAGGTTCAGAGGCATAGCTGAGTTAGTCTATAACAGGAAAAACTTAAAAAACAACAAATAGTCTAGTAACACCATAAAGATTAATAAAACATGTAAATGGTATTGAGAGCTTACATGGGCACAACCCACTTCTTCAGATGACCACAATTTCAATGAGAGATGGGAGCCATCCTTTGCTATCAACTCTCCAAGATCATGTAAAGACAGTCACATTGCTATCCTGCTCCCCAGTTTTGCCAGAACTGGCTGAATTTTTCTTAAAATGTTCCCCTGTTCTGGAACATGTTCTCTAGAACTCTGAAATAGCCCAGTTTTTCTTTTCATCAATTTCTTTTATAACTAACTCCAAAATATGTGTTCAAGTTGTAGCATTATACAAAACCAATTTTTTTCCTGTGTTTACCTGGAACAAATGGTCCATTGTAATGAGTGTTCAGTGTAAGGAACACAGTATGGAGTAAAAAGCTGAATTAAGTCAAAATCAGTACTTTTATTTCATATTAATATAATAGACTTATTCAGTGTCTCATGCTAACTCAAACAGAACTTCTTAAAGTAGCCAGAACAAATCTTTTGCTCTTAGAAATATCCATATATTTTGGTTTAGTCCAAAGCTGTCTGTAATGACTAAGCACAATTTAAAAAAACCTGTGTATGTTTGTGTTTGGTGCTAGTACGTCATAACTCTAAAATACGACGCACAAAGATATCCTGGTTTATTGGTTAGAAAATATGTCCACCTTAACATCTGGCTCATATCTGAGTAGCTGCTGACTCTGCATAGAAAGAAGTTGGGCATGCAATACCCCTACCTCCTGCCCATTTAAAAATCAGAAGGCACAGCTCTGGGAATACATTCCTAATTGTGTAATTTTCTTTTTAATACAGTAACTCTTGAGCATCACAATTTAGACCCACAAGGGCCACAGACTGGTCCACCAATGTGGACATTTAAAAACAACAGTCAAACTTACCTTCTATCCCCGCAAAATGTCTCGTTCTCTTTGTCTATGGATGTTCACCAGGATTCTGAAATACTTTTTATTTTATTAAAAAGGAAAATCCATCTGTAACAGAGTCAGCAACCACCTCTCACAAGTGCTTCTTGGTGAAGTGCATGTACCTGCAGTCTCTTTGGGGAGTATTGTCTGCAGAAGAGAAATCTGAAAGGACAATGACATGAGGGATGATGGGGAAGGAGACAGAGCCCATTAACCAAAGATAGAAACTCCTTGAAGATGTCCTTTCTTCCATTTACTACATTTGAAGCAATTCCATTGGGTCTAAATGCTACTCAATAGTTATCTAGTGAGATAGGTAACGGAAAGACCAATTAATGTAAGCTTCAAGTTCTCTCTATTTTGGAGAAGGGACTTTTTCAAGTCTCAGACTATGTCTACACTATGCAGCTGTTCGCAACAAGGCTGTATCAACCATTCCCTGTTGTTAAAGGCTGACACGCATAAATGCTGTTTGTCAGCATCTTTTCCCAACAAAAGCTTCTAGCCCTGATGAGCAACTTTTGCTCTCTTGGCAGGTGAGCACTCCTGCTGTACAAGCAGCATTTACACTTGCAATCACCATGGCAAAATTTTTGTCGTTTGCTAAGAAGGTTTAAGTACCAGAGAACTAGAAATGTTTTGTCATTCAGTTGCAAGTGTACACTAAGCCTCAGATGATTCAGAAATATTTCCTATTTGAGCATTAGAATGTGGGACTGAAGGGTGAATAATATATGTTAACAATGAGCAATGGAAAGGACATTAAAGCATAATATCATGAAGTATCTATAATTTCTTATTATGTTAATACATACAATTCACAATTATATCACCAGAGTGCCATTAACTTTCAGAAAAGACTCATCCTATGCACTCTTATATACAATAACACTGCATATAAACAGCTGCTTACCACTTGGGATTCAGTCTTCCCCAGCCATCTTTGTAGCCTAATAACCCTTTAAAATGGATTGTTCTGCGGGTTACCTCTCAACGTTTTGTTCAAGCTGTGAGAAAAGCAACATTGATTCTGATACTGACAGAAGCTCCATGTTCTTTCTTCCCCCACTTGTTACCTTAATATCTTTGTTTACCAAATATTTGCAAGTGTTTTGAAGCACAGAATTATCATTCAAAATGTTCTGAACAAACTGAAGAAATGATCTGAGTTAAAGAAGATGAAATTCAATAAGGACAAATGCCAAGTACTCCACTTAGGAAGGAACAATCCGGAACACTCAGGAAGGAACATACAAAAAGGGAAGTGACTACTCAGGAAGGAGTACTGCAGAAAAAGCTCTAGGGGTCATAGTAGACTACAAACTAAATATGAGTCAACTGTGTAACACTGTTGCAAAGAAAGCAAATATCATTCTGGGAGGTATTCACAGGAGTGTTATAAGCAAAACACAAGAAGTAGTTCTAATCAGCACTATTCTGTGCTGATTAGACCTCAACCGGAGCATTGTGTCCAGTTCTGAGCACCATATTTCAGGAAATATTTTGACAAATTGGAGAAAGTCCAGAGTAGAGCAGCGTAAATGATTAAAGGTCTAGAAAACATGACCTATAAGGGAAGATTAAAAGAATTGAATTGAATTGAATTGAATTTGTTTAGTCTGGAAAAGAGAGAACTGGGAGGGGATATGATAAAACAGTTTTCAAGTATCTTAAAGGTTGTTATAAGGAGAAGGGAGAAAAAATATTGTCCTTAAGCTCTGAGGATAGGACAAGGAGCAACAGGCTTAAATTGCAGCATGGGAGGTTTAGGTTGAACATGAGAAGAAAATTCCTAACTGTCAGGGCGGTTAACCACTGAAATTAATTGCCTAGGTAGGTTGTGGAATATCCATCATTGGAGATTTTTAATAGCAGATTAGACAAATTCCTGTCAGGAATGGTCTAGATGTTGCTTGTTCCTGCCATGTGTGCAGAGGACTGGATTTGATGACCTCTCAAGGTTCCTTCCAATTTTATCATTCTATGTAAAAATAGCCCTTCATTGTCTTTGCTAAAGACCTGGCTGATCATAGCTTCAAACACTCATTCATTTCTCTAAGTCAGAGGTGTTTGCCCACTCACCTCACATGCCTGGTTTAATCAGACCTTAGCCATATTTCTAGCATATATGCATTACACTTAATACACACCGTATACATACATTCACAAGAATATTAATGGTCAGTGAATTATTAGTTTCCAAATGATACATGAGACGTATCTTGTGCCAAGAAAATTACAATAGTGCACATTTCACCTCCTCCTAAAAAAGGAGACATCACTTCTATCTGCTTTATAGTTTAGTTTTCATTTGATTTTCTACTATGTAACCGTGCTCCTTAAATTGTGTGACTGGGCTTTACTTGGGAAGACTCAAACTTCCCATGAAAATAGTTTAAAAATAATTAATACATTAACTTTTCTTTCTTTCTCTTTAGAACTGCACAAAAGCAGATTCTGTAACAATATTGATTATTGATATTTAATAACAAATACTCATTGTATGACTGTTCATTTACTTTCTTCACATGAAAATTAATTCACAATGTACAATATTATTAAGATGTTCCATTCATATTCAGTTAGCACAAAATTGAGATATTGAGAACAAAATTAACCAAGGAATCAAAAAATACATGCAGAGAAGAAATATTTTAGTTGACTTTGTGCCACGACCAGGAGCCTGGGTAGCAAACAAGAGATATTGAATTGCTCATTTCTGAGCATAAATATTATCTAGTTGGTTTTACTGAAAGCAGATTGGAAGATTTCCATGACTGTCATGTTATAATCAATGGTTACAACCTATTCAGGAAGGAATGAGTGGGCAAAAGGGGAGGAGGAATAGTACCCTATGTCAAAAATGGCATTACTTGTGTTCACGTCACTGATAATTCAGAAGTATATTACCTTGAATGCTTATGGATCAATGTCCAAACACATAAAACACAATATGGGGCATTAGTTGGTGTGTGTTATAGACCATCAAACTACACTGGGGAAGATGACGAGCTCCTATGCACTTATGTGTAGTGTGTATGGGTATGTCTACATTTGCACCCTAGTTCGAACTAGGGATGCAAATGTAGGCATTCAAAATAGTCAATGAAGCGGGGATTTAAATATCCCGCACTTCATTAACATGATCTCGTTGGTGCATTACTCCGATCAATAGCTGTTTTGAAAGTGAAAGTGTGCCGGGATGCGTTAGTTCGAACCAAACCCCTTGGTTCCAACTAACGTTACTCCTCATTTTTTGAGGAGTAACGTTAGTTCGAACCAAGGGGTTTGGTTCGAACTAACGTCCTGGTGCGCACTTTCACTTTCAAAACAGCTGTTGATCAGAGTAACGCACCAGCGAGATCATGCTAATGAAGCGTGGGATATTTAAATTCCCGCTTCATTGACTATTTCGAATGCCTACATTTGCATCCCTAGTTTGAACTAGGGTGCAAGTGTAGACATACTCTATGGGAATAGTGGCATGATCATGGGAGAAATACATCCCATGTTGCCAGTACTAAAACATATTTGGAATGTGTATATATTAAAGATGATTGTTCTCTTATTCAAAAAGGGTTGCATCCAACATGAAGGAATTGTATACTGGATCTTATCTGGCTAGATAAAGAGGAACTGATGACAGAACTAAAAAAAATGGTAATATAGGTTCAGGTGATCATTACTCGATCTCATTTATGATGTGTAACCAGAAGAAAGTCCAGATCAGTAACATATATCTTGGGTGCTTTAAACAGGTCAAATTCATACATCAAAAACATTTATGAAAAAAATCATCTGGGAGGAAGAATTCAATCAGAAAACTGTTAATGATGAGTGGGAATCGTATAAGAAGACTTTACTAGATGCTCAAAAAAGCTATAATCTCTAGAAGGCTGTATTGGTTAGAAATGACCTAGTTTAGGGGAGAAATGAAAACAGCTATAGGGAAGAATGGGAAAGCTGACAGTAATGAATATATATCAGAGGCCAGAAACAGTAGAAAACTGAAAAAGAAAGAAAAGGGACACAAGGAATTATCTATGACCTGCAGAGTTAAAGACAATGAGTGTTTAAAGCATATTAGGAACAACAATAACAACAAAAACCTAATTTGGGATTGGTCCATCATTAGATGGAAAATGTTGTATCATAAATTAAAATGCAGAAAAGCATTAAATAATTATTTCTGTTCTATATTTGGGAGGGGGGGGAGTTGTGAAGACATAGCATACGATAAGACTCATTCCATCCTACCAGTATATCAGGAGGAAGTTAAACAGCAGCTACTAAAGTTTGGCAATTTTAAATCATCATGTCCAGATATCTTTCATTCAAGAGTTTTAAAAGAACTGGTTGAGACACTTATGGGACTGCTATTGTTTATTTTCAGTAATATCTTGGAACATCGGGGAAGTTCAAAATGACAAAGGGAAAGCTAGTGTTGTGCTATTATTTTAAAAGGCTAAATGGGATGACCCAGATAATATAGGTCTGACAGCCTGATATAAATCCCAGACAAAATAAAGGAGCAGCTGGTATGGTGCTGTATTAATAAATGCATTAAAGAAGGGTAATATAGTTAATGCAAATCAGCATGGTTTTATAGAATATAGATCTTGTCAAACTAACTTGATAGCTTTTTTTATGAGATTACAAGTTTGGTTGATAAAAGTGATTGTGTTAATGGAATATACTTAAATGTCTATAAGTCATTTGACTTGGTACCACATGACATTTTGATTAATAAACTAGAAATATATAAAACTAAATTGGCATATATTAAATTTCTAGCATTTTTGGACAATTTTACAAAGGATTTTTAAAATAATAAATGTCATAAGTCACAAGGTTATTGAGAAGGCGTTGCAGTACTGGTACCTTTATTTCTGCACTGTTGCTGGTGGCAGTATTGCCCTCAGAAATGGGAACCGGAAAGCAGCAGCTGATAGCTGAACCGTAACTCTGAAGGCAGAGCTGTTGTCAGCAGCAGTACAGAAGTAAGGATGGCCTGGTATGGTATTACCAGCCTCACTTCTATGCTTCTGCCTGAAGAGCTGAGCCTACAGTCAGCAGCTGCCACACTCTGGCCATCCAGCTCTAACGGGAGCATCCCACCTATAGCAGTGCAGAAGTAACAGTGGTGGCAATATCATACCATG